CCAGAACAGATCAGACAGGTGGTCTTTCCGCCGGCAATGAAACCAACAAGACCTTCCCAAACGGGCCCTCCTCTTGGCTGTACGGAAGCCACGGAGCTCGAAGGGGAAGGAAAGACGAGGAGTCCTTTGCAACAGGCACATTGTACTTGGAGAAAGTGGAAAGTAAAACCCTCTCTGAAGGTGCCAGAGGGGCAAACACACCTCACAATGCCTTGTACTTAGCAGTGCCATACAACATCTGAAGTGGTTGCCAGAAATGGTAGTCTCATCTTGGATTCTAAAATTATCGAGACATACAATTTACCTGCAATATAGTGAAGTCAGATGATGAAGTATCTAAATTGTTTAGAGTTTCTTTGTCCTCCATCTGCAAAATAAACGAGAATACAGTTTATGTTGTCAATACAGGGTAACCCAACGGTACACCCATACAATGAAAAATAACAGCGATGGAAATCACTCCTGACACAGTGCAGGAATCAAAACAGCATTACAGTTTGACTTCACCTCAGTTTAAAGAAACATTCCAAGTGTATATACCTGCAGATAGAGCGTGAAACCCACTAAAATGGTACCAGTGAGGATTTTAAGACACGAGCCAAAGGAAAAAGGAAAAACAGTAGGTTTAATCTAAAAAGAGATTAAAATTAGGTAGTACAGACTCTCCCAAATCAGTCGGAACCCCAAGTTCGGGGGCTGCTCTCCCATGAACAATGTCCAGAACCAGACTGCGGGACAGATTCTCAGATTTCTCGGGCCGCCACTTCTCCAAGCCTGAATGCTACGGCTACTGAGCCTGCTGCCCCAAGGTGGCTCCGGCCTAGACTGGGGTGGATCCCTTGAGTACCTGACTCCTAGCCTCATCAATCTCCAAAGTGGAGTGTGGGGATAGGAACACAGGACTGCAAAGTCAGGTGGCCCGGAGGCACCTCTGTTGGGGAAGAACGACTGGTGGACTGATCTTCTAAGAGGCGGGCTCTACCCAATAAGGTGGGGGTTCCCCATACACATGAGGGAGATCCATAAAATTACTGGGTGAACCAAAATAAACTTAACTGCTTGCCATAACACCCCAAGCTGGTTATGTTTTAGGGAGGACAATAATGTTTCAAGTATTTGCTAAAGAACACGTACGGCTATTACGTTTATCTGGCTAGGAAGCCACCCTTGCAACACTCCTTCCTTCCGACGCAGCTGTCTCCAGATCGCCTGTGTGTGCTCCCAAGAGTGCAAGACCATCTGTCCTTTCTCTGCACAAGTGGCCACACATTGTGTACCCTGCCATAGCTTCACTTTCCTCTTGGAGATTGTTTTAATTCCTGTAAACCTAATTAGCTCATGTACGTGGTTACATTAAAAGTAATAACTATAATAGCGGAAGGGGTGATAATGTTTCACACCGACGACAGCAATGACCCTATGGTGCGGCTGTATGCTGGGCACTGCTCTAAAGCAGGGTCAGCAGACTTCTGTCAAGGGCCAGCTGGTGAATATCTGAGACTTTGCAGGCCAAACGGTCTTTGCCATGATCATTCTACTGTACTGTTGGAGAAATCAACCACAGAAGACTGTCCCCAACAGGAGTGGCCATGTTTCAACAGATCTTTGGCCAGTATGAGGACTTTGGATCTAAGCTGGTAAGAAACATTTATCTTTTCAATCTTCCCCAAACCAATTATTTTTGCAAGTGAGGTCTAGAGAGGTTAACTAACTCACCCAAGGTCGCACAACAAATTAAGTGGCAGACCTTTACTGAATGGTCTTAGTTGTTAAACTATACCACTTCCATCAATCATAATTACTTAACCATCACTGACAGACACTCGAGACACTTCCAGGCTTTTGGGACTGAATGTATTATTTTCTAATCGGAGAGGAAAAACCAACTTCAAGAAGCAGCAACTAATAAGGAAGGGTAAGTACTTCATCTCACTGCTCTAGCGTTTGGGGTACTTTTGAGGAAAGCCACTGAATGAGACTCACGCCAAAAACTAAAATTATATACCCTATTTGTATCAAAATGAGAGTCATTTCTCAGAATCACACTTTCCATTCCAAGGACAGTCTGCTACCTCTAAGGATACTCAGGATCCGTTCCACTAGCAGAGAACAGAGGTTCCTTCCCTGAGGATGACTCAGGAGGCACCCACCAGAAGACATCTGAGAACCACTACAGAAAGGAGGTGCCTCCCAGGAACCCACACATAAGCATTCCTACCGAGATGCCTCACATCTTCTAATTTTTACCGCCTTTTCCATCTAGTCAACATTCATCCTCACAGAAATACAATAATCTAATAAATTTTTCGCACCAAGTCAACACGGTGTAGGAGTTAAGCACACGGACTCTGTCATCAGCCTGGTCTTCTTACTCTCTTACGAGCTATGTGTTCTTGGATCTTTACCTTTACTCTCCAATTTCCTCAAGGAGAAAATAGGCAAAACGTCATTTACATATGTCCTGTTGTGTCAAAAAGATTAAAGGACATCAGGCCTAATGCCTGGCAGACAACATTCAATAAAAACACCCATTACAACTGTATTATAATTTGATTTGTTTCTAACATGAAAAAACTAAGGCTTAAAAACCGTCAAAGCTGGGGCACCTGGGTGGCTCAGTCGGTTGGGCAGCTGACTTCGGCTCAGGTCATGATCTCGAGCCCCGCGTCGGGCTCT